TCTCTTGATGTCATTTCTCTCACTGAGACATGGTTGTCTTCCCCAGTCTTTGACTCTGAGGTTTTACCCACTGGTTATACAATATATCAGAGGAATAGGTCTCACACTGTTGGTGGGGGTGTTCTTCTTGCGGTGTCCACTACTATACCATCCAGACATGTTCATACAGCTGTTGATATGGAACTGATCATAGTTGAATTAACTCTTACAAAGCCAGTTTATGTCTGTTGTGTCTACTTGCCTCCTCCTCCTGATGTTGCACTGGTGTCATCTTTGTTTCATCATCTCACACTGTCTGTACCGGAGGGATCCCCTTTGCTGTTATTAGGAGACTTTAATCTGCCTGACATTGATTGGAGCTCTCTATCAGCCTCCTCATTACCCTCTCATTCTCTCTGTGATGAGCTGTTTTCATTAAATTATGCTCAACTAGTTACTTGCCCAACCCACACAAGTGGTAACACTCTCGATCTTGTTGTCACAAATATCCCTGAGGCAGTATGTGATTTGTCAGTTAGCAGGGACTTATGCCCTGGTATATCTGATCACTATTTTATTCACTTCTATATCACTATATCTAAGCCTGTGTCAATTAAGAATAAATGTAAAGTGTGTTTTTGTCATGATAGGGTGGACACTGATGGTTTATACCTCCACTTGTCCCTATACTCAGCCCCTCCCATCCTCACCACAAATATTGATAATGTTTGGTTCTCGCTAGCCCAAACCATGCTAGAGTCACGTGATTTATTTGTAAGTAAGGTGAGGCTCCCTACTACTCCAAGTCCGAGGTGGTATAATTATGAGATTAGGTGTGCAATCCACAAGGTAAGATCTCTAAGGCGTAGAATCAATAGTAAGGCTACTAACTACCAATTGGATAAGCTATCGTTGATGGAACGTGATTTACAGAGTCTGATTGCGTCAGCTAAAGAGTCCTATTTATCTACCATGGTCTCTCGATTCAACAATCGACCAGGGGTTCTCTTATCTTTCACGATTGTCAAAGGCTACTTGTATACCTGAGGAAATGCACTTTGGTGATTTATCTGCTAGTACTCCGAGAGACAAGGCAAATCTATTTAACACATTCTTCCATTCTGTCCTTACTAATAGCAACTACTGTCTTCCCCTCTGACTGAACTCCCTGCACCATCGACACAGCTCCACCACTTAACTGTGTCAGCAGATGATGTGTTCAAGAGGCTCATGAATCTTGATACTTCAAAGGCAGCGGGTATCGATAATCTACATCCCACCATCATTAAGTTATGTGCTGGACCTCTTCTCTCAACTATCACCTCTCTCTACTCTACCTGTTTGATGTATCATACTATGCCCATGCAATGGAAGGTACACAAAATCTGCCCAGTTTATAAGAGTGGGGACAGATCAAATGTGTGTAATTATAGACCGATCTCACTGTTGTGTATCTTGTCAAAAGTTCTAGAGTCTTTAGTCTATGACAAGATTATACAGTTCATACGTCCGAAGCTGTCCAAAAGCCAATTTGGTTTCCTACAACAGAGATCATGTCAAACCCAGCTTCTGTCATTCTTTGCTGATATCTACTCTGGAATTGAGGGCAAGAAGGAGGTGGATGTCCTATACTTTGATTTCAAGAAGGCATTCGATACTGTGCCACACCAAGAATTGCTCTACAAGCTATGGATGATTGGTATCACTGGGCCACTGTGGTTGTAGTTCAAGTGCTACTTGACAGATAGGCTCCATCTCACTTGTATCGATGGCGAATGCTCACAGTGCCTTGAGGTCACATCTGGAGTCCCACAGGGCAGTGTACTAGGACCCTTGTTGTTCCTAGTTTATGTCAACGACATCCCAGACAGAATCTCGTCCACAATATATTCATTTGCTGATGACATGAAATTTCTAAGAGTATTGTCATCTTTTACAGATAGAGACCTATTGTCGTCTGATCTCTCATCTTTAACGAACTGGTGTGTGGAATGGAACATCAATCTAAACGTCTCTAAATGCTCACACATCACTTTCTCTCTTCTACATAACAGCACTAAGTCCTCATACCATATCGACGGTCTGCTACTAGACCAGGTTGAAACACAACATGATCTTGGAGTGATTGTTTCCCAAGACTTATCCTGGTCAACTCATTACCGGAAAATCTGCTCTAAGGCATATCAGACTCTACACATGTTGCGGAGAAACATTCCCAATACAGCTGATACTGGTTTAAAGCGTGTCCTATACCTTACTCTAGTTCGATCACAGCTCTGTTATTGTTCACAAGTATGGAGTCCTATGTACCTCAAAGACATAAGAGTTCTGGAGCTTGTCCAACAAAGAGCGACCAAGTATATCCTATCAAATTCTCATTTGTCATATAAAGATCGGCTCATTAATTTAAATTTATTACCTCTAATATACTGGTATGATTTACAGGACATTCTCTTTCTGTTAAAATGTATTCTACACCCCCCTGATAATTTTAATATCTTTAATTATGTAAACTTCAGTGACACCTCCACAAGAACTGCTGGTCAGGGCAAACTAAAGTATGTCTACAAACGTCTATCTAGCACTAGACACTTCTATTTCAACAGAGTCGTTCGTTTGTGGAACAGTCTTCCTTTTCTCGATCTCTCTCTCTCCTTTAATTCTCTCAAATATATTATTTACAATCACTTGTGGAATCACTTTCTAATTAATTTTGATAATGCTAATTTATGTACCTATCATTATGTCTGTCCTTGTGGAAATTGTCATTTAATTCATAACTACTAACTCTAATTATTTAATGGTTGCTGTACAAGTTGCAGCCAGCCTTTAACTGTTCTATTGACATTGTTCTATAGTTTATGTCCTATGTTTTACAGTTAAGAAATCCTTTATTATTATTATTATTATTATTAATAAT